TGAACACATAAATAAGTGATACTAACCTAAGAAGGAGAACTAACGTTTTTTCTCCTGCCTCCTCAGAGCATGGAGGTAAGGGCATGCTTCACTTCCTTGAAAGGGCTCATTGCCCACCAGCCTGGGGGTGCACACTTAGGGAGCACCAAAATTAGCAGGGAATATAACTAAGGTGGAGATTTTGGCATTGGGAAATAATACATTGGCCAGAGACTATACTTGTCCTCCTGCTATCGAGTGTGGGTGCTGGGGACCCCAGGTGGGACCCAGTGAATGATGAGGGAGGCTTCCATATCACTCTAATAGTACAAGTGCCCATGTCTTCTGTCACAACATGTAAGAAAACAGAGGATCCTAGAGAACTAGTAGAACCTCGGAATGGGCCCCAGAACTGTGTTGTGGCTTCTTCTCTTCTCCTGTCTTCCTGTCCCTTGGGTTCTAGTGGCCTAGCACCTCCTCATAGTGACAGTGGGATGGTTGCTACCACAGAGCTTGTGTTGATTCCCCATTGGCCCAAAGGCTGTATAAAAAAAAGCTTGTTGCTGTCCAATAAAATAGATCTGCACCTCCATGTTGGTCTCCAGAGTCTGTATCTCAGTTCATGACTCCACCTCCCTCACCCCCTCCTGGATTCTGGTTTCCACAATTGACTACTAGAAAAACATTATATTCTAGTATGCACGTATGTTTTAAAAGAGTTTCCAGGCTGGCAGCTCAGAGCTATGTATGGTTTCTGAAAAAGCCAAGCAGAGTAGGTGGTCCTCCCATCACGTTGCCTGTCTGCCTGGGGACTCATTGACGTTGTACTGATGGAGGAAACTAAAGAAGAACGTATGAGTTTCTCTTGGCTGAGAACACAAAGAGTAGCCTGGGTAGGTGCAGGGAAGAGAGGTAATATGCTGAACCTCGCTGAAATGGACCATCAAGCATGAGAGAAGGGAAAGCTAGGTGTGCTGTTTAGTGTTTTGTCAATGTGACAAAAATGCTAGAGTGATCTGTGAAGAGGGAACCTCAGTTGAGAATGCGCCTCCATTAGATTGGCCTGTGGGAGACATTTCATTGATTAGTCACTGATGTGGGAGGCTCCAACCCACTGTGGGTAGTGCTGCCCCTGGACAGGTGGGCCTGGCTTAAATGAGAAAACTGGCACAGAAGCTATAGAGAGCAAGCCAGGAAACAGTATTGCTCCCTGGCCTTTGTTTCTTTTCTGCCTCCAGGTTCCTGCCTTGAGTTCCTACCCTCACTTCCTGTCACAATGCACTATAACTGTAGGATAAACTAAGCTCTCCCCCCTCCCCCGAAAGTTGCTTGCGGTCATGATGCTTATCTCATCAATGACAAAAGCAAACTGGGACAGTAGGTAAAGAAACTGAAGCACCCTCTTTGAGTCTTCTGGGCAAATGTCAATAACAGGGACAGAGACTCAGCTCCATGCTGCCACTCACAGCAGCCAGAAGAGGTCATTAGTTGCCTGAGGGAGCTCAACTCAAATAAACTGCTCTTGGCTCAGATGCTGAAAAGAATTTCAGGACAAACCAGTATGAAGCAGAGTTGAAGTTTATTGAGAAAAGCAAGGTGCTCGGTACACCTGAGAGCGTGGGTGTGGCAGGTGCCTGGGTGTGGACCTCTTCAGGGAAGGCTGCAGTTTACTGAAAGACATTTTTACCATAGATTCTAAGCACAATGGCTAACAGAAAGAGACCTTTTCTTTTGGGAAGGAATAACCTGTACTCAAGTGTGGGCGTGGACTTTTAAAGAAGAGTCTGTAGAGAAAGCCAACTATTCTGATCTTTACCCTAGAGACGATGACTCTACCATCGTACCTAGGGTAACCGTTAGCATGAAATAGCTGTTTTCCACTATAGATAAGTCATAGATAAGTGTCTTAAAATTAACCATTTACACCATGTTGATAGCTCAAGCTACATCTCAAAAGGATGCTCTTTTGGATCAGTGAAATTATAGCGTGGCTTCAGAAGTATCTTGGATGGGCTTATAATCTGATAATGGTGAGCCAGGAGTCACTGGGATTGCACAAGAGGATTAGGAAATATCATTTAACCATAAAGGGGATTTCGGAAAAGATTTCTGCAAATATTCAGATTTTTATCTGGAAAGAGAGAAAAGGGGCCTTTATGAAGTGTTGCTCATTGTGTTGGAATCCTTGATCCTCAGCTGACAAAAGGCTCCCCCCATAAGGTTCCTAAGTGAGGAGCTCCTTTCAACTCTTATGTCCTATAATATTCCATCTTTCTATCTCACCTCATGGTTACTAACCTGGAATGCACAGAATGAAGAGCACAGTGGGATCACAGTGGGCACTGGTGAGCCGAACACTTGAGATGCACACACACTGGAGGGTATAACACAGCGATCAGCCCTTAGAAGGAAAGATAAATCAGCTCTAGAGCGGTCACCATCCTAGACTTGACCTAACAAAGCTCAAGAACAGAAGCCAACCCCAGGAAACTTATCTACCTGCTAGAACATGAGCCAGTGCTCTTAAAAGGAAAACAACAAAACGTGGACTTAGCAAAATCACAATAAAAATGTAAAAAATCACTACCTACTTAAAGAGACAGGAAAAGAAGAACCCAAAATAAGAGAAAACAGCACAGAAGAGAAAATGGAAGAACTTTTTTTAAAGAGAGAAATAGATGGAATTTATACAGTTGAATCTTCAAACTGTAACATAGAAAATTAAAAAACTGGAAAAAATGACACCAGAGACTCAATGACCTATAGAGGGACATTAGCCAATTTAGACACGTTATGTTTGAGCTCACGGATGCTTAAAACTTCTGCAATATATATCTGCTGGGACTCCCATCCAGTACAAATTTCATTTCAGGTATTACATTCCTAGGGGTGAAAACTGCTTAGAAATTCCATTTAGTTATTTTTTTTAAATCACATTTCTTGCCTCATTGTGTTCACATATGTCTTTAAATCCTTAAACATATTTGGAGCAGCTGTCTCAAAACTGTGCCTGCCAATTTCACTCCCCTGTCACTCACACTGCTTCTATTTTCCTCCTTTGTCTGAGTCATGATGGGAATAAGAATGGTCATGGACTCCTTTCTGAAAATGCAAGCCAAGGACCCAGGAACTGTGTTTGTAGGTACTGAAAGAACATAAAGTTAGCCTAGAGCTAAAGCCAGAAAAAAAAAAAAAGAAAAGAAAAGAAAACTCCATCAAGGAGAAATACCTGAGGCCTCCGTGCTGCTGCTGGGAATGGTGGCACAGCCACTTGTGAAAAGGTCATTCGGAAGTTTCTTCCTAAGTTAACCGTGTATTACAAACAATCGAGGAATTTCAGGTCTAGATTTTTTACTCTTGACAAAACATCCAGAACATCTCCACCTGCTCATTAATAATGACAGCAGCTTATTCTCTACAGCCAGAGCAAACAACCGCTGGAAGCAGTGTCCTGATTATTACCCAGCCCATTTTCCCTGTGCAGTGTCCACGATAAAATTTTCTTTCTTAAAATAAAGGTGGCAAGCAACCAAAATGGCGACATCAACAGGTAGACAGAAGAACTATGCCGTAGCTGCCGTTGATCCCACTCAGGGACGAAAAGGAACTAACGGTCCTTGGAACAGAATGGATGGACTGCAGACACCTCGGAGCAAGCAAGGAAGCATCGTGTGTCTTCATTGACATAAAATTCCACAACAGGCAAAACTAAGCTGGACTGAGGGGAAGAGGATGAGTACTTAGCTGGAGCTGGGGACAAGGAGTTGAGCAGAGCAGAGGGGTGCTTACTCTGTGTTACAGCTTTGTTTGTAGCGGTGAATGATTGGTGGATACTGTCAAAATCCACCGAACTGTGTAGTCAGAATGAGTACAGATTGTTGCATATGAATTATGACTCCGGGTGCCCTGAGACCTCATTTCCAGAGAAAAATCCTGCACAAGCAGCCTTTCTGCCTTCATTTTCCTCCTGGATGACCTAATAGGAGGCTGCCTTCGGTGGGTGTTTCATATGCAAAGTCTGTAGACATGAAGAGATAACCCCATGTGATTCATGTCTCTGAGCTTCCAGGAAAACCCTTCCCTCCTCAAACGTTAATTCTTCCAAGAAGCGTCCCCAGATCCCCAGACTGATGACTCCTACATCACTCTCTTCACAACTGTCTTACTATCACAGCTCAGAATTAATTACTAAGTCTTCTGTCCCCTGCTCATAAGCTGCAAGAGGCCAACAAACCCATCTTGGTCGTTATTATACCTTCTCCTGGTCCAGATTACTAATGGCACGCACCACCATATCAAACAGAATGGTTGCTTCAGAAGGTTCTGGAATCAGTAGGCTCAGAGGCCCTGTTCTATTTCGTTTCTGTTCCCGTTAGAGTGGTCCAAAGAGCCATAGGATCTCATTTCCAGAGAAAGTCCTGCATAGCAGCCTTCCTGCCTTAATTTACCCCTGGCAGAACTAAGCAACAGACACACGTGTTTTCTAGGATCTCTTAACTGTTCACGGACATCCCCCAAAGCAAATCATTTAGCATCAAAGAGGCAGGTGTGTCTCCTCCGTAGAAGGTCTTTAAAAATGGGCCACAGCCTCCGAGATGGCTAGAGACAGGAAAACGTGATTGTGACATTTCAGAGCTGGGTGCCTCTATATCTCTCTCTTCCTCTGTGCCCGCCTCCCTTTATTCTTCTCTCTCTAGCGGCTTCCCTTTCTGTCTTCTTGATCCCATAACACTTTCCCAGCGCTTCCGCTTGGTTTGGTTCTTCCCTCCTGGCGGATAGGATTTATCTCTATCCTGGGTTCTCACAGAGCATCCTGCGCGACGCAGCCCCTTTCCCCTCCGCTCCCCCCTCTCCTCCCCTACGCCTCCGCAGGAGGCAGAGTTCCTCAGGGAGCTAGAGGTGGGAGGTGGGCCCTGGAGCTGGGTCCGCCCCTCAGTGCGTGTGCGAAGGCTTGTGTGGCAGTGACGCGCAGGCGACGGCGGGAAGGGGAGGGAGGGCTGGCGAGGGAGGGAGGCCGCCGACCGCCGGGGCTGCTGGGCTCCTGCGCGCTCACGCTCCCCGCCGCCCGCCGAGGCGCAGGCAGGGCGCAGGCGGCGGCGGCGGGCGGCATGGAGAGCCTGCTGGAGAACCCGGTGCGCGCCGTGCTCTACCTCAAGGAGCTCACGGCCATCGTGCAGAACCAGCAAAGCCTCATCCACACCCAGCGCCAGCGCATCGATGAGCTGGAGCGGCGTCTAGACGAGCTGAGCGCCGAGAACCGCAGCCTGTGGGAACACCAGCAGCTGCTGCAAGCCCAGCCTCCTCCGGGGCTCGTCCCCCCGGCGTCTGCCCCACTGCCTGCTCCTGCAGCCACCGCTCCGGCCGCCACTGCGGCCCAGGAGCCGCTTCAGGACCACGGACAGCTCGTGCCGGCCTCGCCAGAGCCACCACTTCAGCACCACGGACAGCTCCTGGCGCAGCCCCAGCCTGGCCCCAGCAGCAAGGTTCAGGCTCCCCAGTCGCCCCATCAGCACTCAGTGGTACCTGGGGCTGTAGCCGAGAAGGAGAAGGAGCGTCCCTCGAGTTGTTGTGCTGCCACCGGAGCCCTCCTTCAGCACACATCCCCCGCCGCCCTCGGCAAGGGCGTCCTGAGCAGGAGACCCGAGTGAGTGGGGACGAGGAGGTGGGAGAAGCAAGTGGGTGTGAGCACATAGGGAAATCAGCTTGGAAGAGTGAAGGACCGGGCTACTGGGAAGTGAAGCGGGCTGGGCTGAGATGTCTTCGGTGAAAATGTGTCAAGGAGAGTCCCGCAAAGGAGGGGTTGAGATCCGCGTTTCAGGTTTTGTGGCGGTTGGAGCAAAAGGAAGTATCTAGACCATCTTTGGGGCAAGGAATGAGAGAAATGGATTTTAATTGGCTGGAGATATTGGTAACTTTCCGAAATTAAAGTAGATAAGATTGGGAGGAAGTTGGGTGCAAAATTTAAGCCAAAGCAGGGGCCCACTGGGGGATTTAAGCTAGGAATGATCAGGAAGGGAGTTTGCATAGTGCAACTGTTTAAATAAAGAGATACCAAGACATGCTTGATCAGGAGATTTAAGAGCTTTACGGGGGCTGGGGTCCAGCAGCAAGGATTAGAGCAGAGAGGATAGAGCTGAAGGGCAGGAGGGATGTGGAATACAGGAGGATGAAGGGTGGGAGACAGCGCTGCCCAGGGGAAGGAGCTGGCTCTTTTATCTGATGCAGTGGGAGTCAGAGCCAGGAGCAGCTCACTTGGGGAAGCTTCCTCCCTCTGACCCAAGTGAGTGTTGTTTTGCTGGGTCCCTGCGGTGCCGAGTGGGTATACAGAAACAACCCTCCAGGCTCCTGGATGCCTCTGTGAGCACCTGAGGACTCATCTGGATGGAGCTCTCTCCTCTGACTCAGGAGCCCATCTGGGTGCAGGGTGGCTGGCAATTGTGGGAGGGGAACAATGAGAATGGAGCCAGCTGGAAAACAGTTCCTTGAATGCAATGCCTCTCTAAATGTCTGTTGTGGCTACTATGACAAACCCTATTTCCCCTTGGAAACCTCATCTTGGATTCCTGGGAGAAATAGTAATTGTCCCCCAGGCAGAGTCTAGGGCCTCGAGATTTGTCTTCACTCATGGGGCCCATGGAATAGGAACGTGGAAGGAAGGGAAGAAGGGGGCTGGGATGTGTTCTCCTCGGTATTGAGCGAGCTTGGCGATCCTGTCAGTATTACTTCTCTGGTTAGATGGGGATGGGGGGGGGATTCCTGTGGCAATCAGTGCCTGGTCAACAGTGGTCCTGGTGATGTGATGCCGAAGGAAAGGGAGGGGCAAGTGAGGAGAGCCAAGCACCTCATCTCTACTCCGTTTCACCTGTGCTTTATGTCTGGAAGACACTCGTGAAGACTGGCTGCTTTATTTAAAAGCTCACTTTGCCCCCCCCACCTTGCTTTCCTCTCTCATCCGTGTGGAGTTAAGAAGGTTGACCAGGCATGCTTGATCACAGGGTAGATTTGGCCAGAAGCACAGGACCCCATAGGCGGGGATCTAGGATGACCTGGCTTGACAGACCTAATGCATCTTTTTCAACCCCCTCCAAAAAAATATCCTCTGTGGCCTATTTGTCTTTCAGTTCTATGCCTGTCTTTCTTTCTTGGCATGAAAAATGGAGCGTTGCTTTTTCCTCAACACCCACATCTTAGCTAAAGGCAAAATTCTTCCTAGATATTATATGGCCTTTTCCCCAACAGAGGGAACAATTCCACCCCACTTCCCTAGGGACAGCCATAGAGGGCTGACATTTAGAATTCTTCCCTTGAGTTCTCTCCTCATGATATCTGGTGTCTTCCTTCTCTCCCACTGAATCCTCAGTATCTTTGTGCCTTGTTGGGAAGATGTGATCAAGAAGGATTGATGACAGATCTTCTTCTTGGATAAAGACTTCTCTTTGGCCCCCAAAGAGTCCAAAGAGCTGATGTCTTCTATACAGATGTTCCAGAGGTTGGGACTCCTCTCCAGTCTCATATGTCAAGACCATGTAACATCCCTGTGTCTCTGTCTTCCCTGATCTGCTTCTACTTCCTATGGAGCAAAACTAAGAACCGACCGGCATGGTGGAAGGTAGTGGAAGCTGCTGGGAGACCTTTATTTGGAAAATTGTGCCAGGCACTGGTCATCAGCTTCTCAGTTTTTCCAGAGTTTCCAGCCTTTCCCCTTCTCCCCAGGCCTAGATACCCAGAAACACCAAGAGTGAGAGCATACTTACCTCACTTCCCTGAAACTTTCTTCCCCTCTTGGTGAAATAACGCACACCTTGGATGCCTGGAGGCCCCTGGAATACCATTTCTCCCGTATGTTTTTGCCTGGCTTCAACTGAAGTTTCCCGCATAGAGCTCAGGAATGGATCAGTGTTGCTCAGCAGGTGTTTAGCCCACTCTGTCCTACCCATGGCCCCATGGATGTTTGTCCTCTGTGCATCTCTTCTTCCACAGGGCATGGCTAGATGGAGTCAGCAGGTAGTGAGAGACCTCTATGTGCAGAGTGAGGGACGGTGAAGAGACTAGAAGCAGCAGCTGTGCCCCTGGGCCCCACTGCTCTCTCCCTGAGGCTTTTTTCTAATCGGGTTTTCTACTATGCGGAGGGGGAAGAGATGGAAGAGAGGGCTTCGGGTCGTAATCTTTTTGCAGTGTTGTGCTTATTCCTCTCTGTCTTCATTACAGAAGAAGAATGTGGCTCTAAGTCGGTTGCTACAGACAGGCAAAAGGTCCAAAGGGCCAGGCACTGTTAGATACCATTTACACACAGACACACACACACACACACACACACATACACACACACGCAGACCAGCTACACAGTCTATTCCCTCTTCTTGCCCAACACGGGAGAATCTAGAGCTCAGGGGCTGGGAAATGATGGATCATTCAGTGGCCATCTGATGGGGATTAGGGTGCAGCCTGGCCTTTCTCCCTGTTTCAGCTGGAGGACACACAAAGGGGCAGGCCTTGGGATCCAGGCTAAGAGAGCGGCATTGTGGAGGCGGGTTAGCACAGCCATGTTACAGAAACCCCTAGAGGTTAGCGACCTTTCTCTGCCCGCTTCCTGCTCCTGCTAGCACGAGCCCCCACTGCTTGTGAAACTTAATGAAAGCAGCAAACATAGCTTCTTCCTCTTTTTTTCTTTTTCTCATTCAATCAAGGCTCGCAGCAGCTACAGAATTGATTCTCTTTTTCCTGGCTGGAGCCAGGCCTCAGCCTAACCTGGAAAAGACCCCTTCCCCCGGAAGCACATGACCCCGTGCTGCCTTTGTGACCACAGCTTCTATTACAGCACACTTGCCCACCTACTCAGTCGCATTTCGTTTGGAGCCCACGCTGACCTGTGTCTCTAGTCCCAGAGGCGGGTGATTGCTTACACTGAGGCACGATTAGGACATTGTGCATCAAATTCAGCTTTTCTCCGAGCTCCCCAACTCAGTGTGAAAGTCCGCTTTCAGTGTGATAGTACTTAACTGTTTGTCTCTTCCTCCCTCGCCTTCCTGGAGCACGCTTCCCCTTTGTTAGTTTCCTCCTTTCTTCTCTTCTTTCCCTTTTCTTTTCTTGCATGTTCTCTCTCTCCCTCTCTCCTTTCTTCCCCTGCCCTCCCTTTCCTTCTCCTGGCGGAGACCGTACCCATGGCTTTGCACATGCTAAGCACACGTTCTCGCACTGAGCTCCACCCTCTAGAACATGAAGCATATCTTGAGTCATTCCCTAAGAGCTCTTTGGTATCATGCTGGCTCTGGCCTGGGGATGGCTAGATGATGTATGTATGTCCCCTTTGGCCAGAGTCGTCGAAGATGCTGATTAGAGCGGATATCTCTACTATGGAGTGAGGGTGGTCAGCCTGAAGGTGGTAGTGTCTGGCTGGCTCACCCTGGCAGCTCACCGGAGCGTGAAGGTCTATCAGTGAGTTAACCATATCAGGTGTTCGGTCTGTTTAAAAGCCTGAATTCTGTGCTGTGGGAAGACAGGAAGGAAGCAAGTGGTCCCTGGATGACATATAACGAGACACATCTAGAAATGTGTAAGCGAGTGTGAGCATGGCTACAGCTGCCTGGAGCCATCCTCTCTCCAAATATTGTAAAAAGAATGGGCATACACAGAAGTTTGGAACCAGATGGGGGTGGGGAGGTTATTGGCTAGAGGTGAGGGTTTGCGTCAGAAAATAGTTAAGAACCAAAGACAGCCAGAAAGGAAACTGTCTACCAGATTCAGTTGTGAGAGACATCTGTGCTGCATGCAGACATCACTCCTTCCACTGACAGAGAGTCCCTGCCTGAGCCATGTCAGGGGACAAGGACAGTCTCAGCATGTCTTGAGCCTAGAATGCCTGGCTGCCAAAGCTCACTCATCTGTCTATCCATGCCCTGCCCATCTTGTGCCATCAACAGGCAAAGGACTCCAAACAAACTAGTTAAAAGGTGAGACCTGAGGAAGGTTCAGTTGAAGAGGGAGTGAAACCTTTTGCTCATTCTTGGAAGCTGGTACAGAGCAGATCTTTCTAAAGATTTGCTTGCTGGACCTTTTCAAAGGCCCAGACTGATCCTCTCTGCCCTTTGATCCAGGGGAAAAAAAAAAAACAAAACAAAACAGTTTTAGGGACTCAAGCCATTCCTTAGCCTCTGGGGATTTCCCCAACTTCCAAACATGCACCACGTCTCCCTTTCTTCCTCCCAGCCCTTCTTATATATCATGTAGGCAACATCACAGGCCTCACAGAGGCGTCCTGGCACAGGTTCCTCTTGGCACCAACCCAAGCAAGAGGCACAGCAGTTATTCCTGCTGATTCAGCAAGTATCTGTGCAGCCCGAGTTCCAAAGGTTAATTCCATGGGAGGAGAAGTAGACAGACCGAGTTAGGGCTGGGTGGGGATGGAAGGAGTGGTAATGTGATGTGAAAAAGAAGAGCAAGCTAGGACCAATAGTTGGGACCACGGTCTAAAAGGAAACCCAGCTCTTGAATTTAAATCCCATGCAAAGATTTTCACCCTAACTCCCTTATTGGGAAGCCAGAGCATTTTCCCCACAGGGGTCCAGACAAACTCCATGGCCCAGCACACAGAATGGCAGCAGCTTCCTAGGAGGACCTGGGGACATGGGGACACTCCTTAAACTG